AAAAAAAGTCAAAGCTATGTTTCTCTAGATGTTCCTCATTATGTAAAACAGTCATATATATTCAGTGTAATCCATTATCAGACACAGATATGGTAACAGTACATAGGTAGTAAAATACAGAAATAAAGTATTAAAAATGTAAGATTTTTGATATCTTAAAGTAATAAAGTTGCTCTTAATCCTTGAAATATGATGAAAACCAGCAGTAACATGATACTAAAAGGGTGATTGTATTGAGTAAATTTTGAAATTAATATTAATTATTAAAAGTTCTGAGCATATATGTATTGTAAGTTCACAAAAGGCAGAATCTAGCAAGATACTTCAACCTACGTAAAGGATAGAAGGCTTAAACATTTGCTAGAGGAAGATCCTCTACACCTACATGATGAATGGTGCAAAAAGAGTGAAAAAGTGAAACAAATTTATCTCACTACTTAGCTTCCTTTTGCAAAATTAATTGTGATTTTTTTGTAATTTTTAATTTTTCAGAGTATTTTGTGCTGCTGTCAGTATAACTATTATTTATTTTTAAATATTTTAGAGGGAAAAATCTTTACTGGCATAATATACCATAGTTAACTATTTTTGATTTAAGCAAATAAAGACTTCTTCATTTTCTAGAATAAATCTAGATTGCATACAGAATATGCAAATACCTCTTCCATTCTTTTCTTTACCTCTTTCCCATTTTTTCTTTTCTGACATGAAAATTTCAAAAGGGCTACTATTTATCCTCCATCTAGTTTTCCGTTAGTTGAAAACACTTTTTTTAACCTACTGTATTAAACCTCCAATCTCGAATTAACTATTGGTGAACTACAAAGCCCTTATTCTCCCCTGCTGCTCAACATGTAAGAGGAAACATAACTTACTGTATGGAAGGCCTCATTGATCTGTGTAACACTTACCTGTATTATACTCTCTAAATCCCATAACACCTAAGGAAAGGATCAGTCCAAGCACATAAAATGACAAATATAGCACAATAAATTATTCACACAATATTTTTTTTAGTAAAATGTTTCATTGCCTCACATCACTCACAAACAAACACGAAAATGCATATTTTAATACAACATTTTAAAACTCTCTATTCCAGCAAAATTCAGTGGATTAAGTCCACTGTTCTTACAGTATTAAATGCTTTTCACAACTGTTTTCCAGGACAATTCTCTATTCCTATCTCTCTGTCTTTTTAAACTACAGAAACTTTTTGTTGCACTTCTGCATCTGTTTTATTACTACACAAAACAAAATATTAAACAGACAAAATATAAGAAACTTTATAAACTCAGAATCCATTTACTTTAAGGGCTAGTAGACGTCTTAGTACATGGACACATTCATGAGATAGATATATTAGAAACAACCTTATGAATCACTTTAAGAAGATACCACATTAATTATATCACAAGAAAATGAATGCATTAGAGGTGAAGAAAATATGCAATGATCACTACAAAGGAAAATCAAAATGAGGAAGAGATGAAAATTAGTATGTCCAAAAAGAGCACCATATTACTTAAAATGTGTTAACCTACGGTATGTAAAATATAGATTTCCTCAAAGTTGGGCATGTAAATTTATATGTTCTGTTGATACGTCTCACATCCTTTCAGAACAGGACCTTGAAAACCAAGCCTACATAATTTTGAACGCTCATCTCCCACTCCACAGACACACTGTCTAAGAAGGTGATGGTATGTGCTGCATTTCTAATGCAGTTCTCTAACACCCATAATAGATGCACTGCAATGCATGACTAGAAATTATCAAATACAAGTTTTACCTGATAATATGAAAGTTTTAGGGTTTTATATGAGGAAACAAAACAGATCATCTTACTTATTTTTTTGAGTAATTGTATGAATTCAAGAAGCAACCTAAAAGCAAAGGTGTTATTCTATGTAGTAAGCAAGTAACATTGTAAGTCTGAGCTAGGTACGTAAGTAATAAGTTCTACTTGCCTAAACAAAAACTGTACGGAGACCAAGAGGGTTCTAGCCTCCCTTCTTCCATTACATTTGCTTACAGTAGTATCAACTGGTAGTTAGCCATAAAAGTAGTCCTACAGATTAACAGGAGGGAAACAGATTTTTTTTCCCTTTCTAAATTCTTTACCAAACAGACCTACGCTGATTGGCTATACGTGTATTAGATTACTTAATCTATTGATTTCTGCAAATCTGTTAAGTAAAGCACCCTACTACTAAGGAAGTCAACATGCAACTGAACTAGAAGCAATTATAGCTCTTGCACTAAAATGAATATACAAGGGGAAGCATTATGTATGACTGATGCAGGCGTATTTTCTAGGTTAGTGACTACGGAATACAGAGTAAGTTGTTTCAAATCCATACAATAATTATGGGGCACAAGATTTTCAATGCAGTAACTTACTGGAATGGAGTGTGTAGGAAAAAAAGGTAAAATACCAACAGGTATTTTACCAACAGATACACAAATCATTAGTGATGTCAAAATGGGCAGTAGTTTTGTTGTATAAGAGTTTTATCCAACTCACCACTGAAATGTTATCACTGACCTCAAAGGCAGCTGTAGTAACTGTTGGTAAACAGGTTTTTGTTTGTTGTTTTTGTAATTACTTCACCTCTAGGTTTGTAACTTTTTTTTTTTTTAATCTTTATCTAAAGAAGATGAAGTTGCTCAAACAAAATTAGAAAATGTGTTTTAGATGAAAAACCGTTAGACAATTTGCACATCCAATTAAAAACTACTTACGGCCAATTTCATTTAGCAATTATGAAACTGGAAACGAGAGAACAGTGTTGTGCTGGGACAAAGATAGTAAATGCTGAATGTATGCACATTAAAGTCACCCTAGTAATTAATTAATTTGATAAATGCCTAAAGCTGGGATTAGACCTCAGTCTATTTACAAAGAAATTCTGAAGCATGTTCTTAACATCTTCTTTGAAAAAAACTGAGTATGTCACAGTAAACTGTCCTGTGTCTTGTACGTGTGAGACTGCTTTTACTAATGAAGAAATTAATGCTTACACTAAATGATTCAGTATCCACATTCACAGTGCATGTTTTCGTATGAGCTACCTAGTTCTTAGCTACTTTATTTATGGACTTTAACTGGTGAAAAAAAAAATAAATGATTCAAAAAAAGTATCAGCTTAGAAAACTGACAAATATGCAGCAAAAGATTATGGAAACATGCAGTGGTTTTGCTAAAATTAACAACAGTAAATAGAAAAATGTAACTGATGTATTACCAGTTTGTGCCATAAATTTAGCAGCATCAGCTTGTTCCTGAGGGACCCTTTTCTCATGAACAGATCGAGGTCGCTGACTTTTAATTGTATGATCTCCCATCATTCCAAATTCTAAAGACAGAATAAAGGTTTATGAAAGCTTGTGTGTAGACATTTCTCAAAAGTCACATACTGTCTCATGCAATATGTTCCTAAACATACCTGGAAGTTGCTGGTAAGAGTCAAGCAAGTGATCATGGCAGTTAACATCAACTTAACTTTGCTACACTCAGCTTTTAATAAATACTTAAATTTGTGTCTGCAGATTTGCAAACATGATTTTATTGTATGAACCAACATTCAGGGTAGTGACACATAGTATAAATCAGCTGTATGACATGGGACAAAAACAATTATTCAAATGTAGACATTTTGTTCCTGTATATTGGATCAGTGCAAACCACACCAGAAAATGATTGTGACAGTGTTAGACATTGCGGTTCTACAGCACAACCTGCTGCTCCTCCAGAGGACTTCTATTTCTGCACTCATCTTTCAGGCTGATGAAGCCTTCAACAGAGATAATGAGTCATCTTAGGGAATGGTGGCAATGCGAAATAATAATAGACAACGGAGTGCTTAATTTTTAGGCCGAATCAAGCAGAACAAGCATTTATGAACTGTTTCTTTTCTGAAACCTCTCAGTTATAAAGATTATAGTTATATCTTGCCCTCAGGATTTTAAAAAAAGTCCCCGTGGATTTTAATAAGGAACTCTATGCAAAAACCATGACATAGGGGTCCAGAGAGTGGGAGACAGAGTTCTTCATTTTTTATCCTACCACTTTTTTCATTTTCCCTGTCTGGTCCTGCACAAACTCCTAACATTCTACCTCAGACTCCATTTCTCCTTTCTGTGATGAAATGCAGAGTGGCACTGCTGTGTCTTCAGCACAGTTCAGTCTGGACCTCCCAGGCACACACAGCTGTCTGCGGCTTGCTGCTGAACATTCCCTTCCTGTTGGGACTCTAGGAAGCGTGTGCTGGGAACCGTGGGTTAAGACGGAAACTACTTCAACTACATGAAGATTCTGATGAGGCTGAAGGTGTCTGAAGCACCAGGAATATAAACATTAAAAAATGTTTATAACATTTTATAAATGTTTATAAAAATTCTTTCTGCTGGAAGGTTACCTTCCAAATGCAAAGTTCAAAACTGTCCTGTTTGTAAAGTCATGAAAATAACAAAACTTACCTTCCTGCCTCAAAAGATGCAAAACATATAATGATACTAATAAATATTATTTGCAAACACATTTCTTTGATAAATCACTAAAGTAATCAGATTTAAATTTCTATTTAAAGAAATAATAAAAGGCAAATATATTTTTAAGGGGTCAATCAGCAGAGGGTGTTTTTTTTCCTTTCTAGTAAATTATTAATATATTTCTCCAAATTAGTGTTTCCTTCTGTAAATATTCATTAATGGCACCACTTAAAATATAAATTTAATTATTCATTTGAGAACAGCAATGCCGTTTGCATTCTAAAGAGAATATTTGAAAATCTAATTAATAAAATATATCTTGACAATGACACCTTCAACATTAATACATCCCAGAAATACATATAAAATATAATTAAATTGTGTATACATACAAATACATACATACATATTAATTATACGTCTAGGCATATATGTATGTGCATGCATACATAGCTGTTATAAAATTTTATGAATATATTTTTACAAACTACATCTCTTCTGCAGCTCTTATTAGATGGCTTTTTATTCTGTGGGAAATCTCTTACCATAATCAAAGCTATAAAATTAATATTCTAATGCAAATTAAGATTAGAATGATACAATTTTTACAAAGTGCAGTACGAATGACCGTTATAACTGTAATTAACAACATGGTGAAGGACAAGGGACTTTTCATAGCTTTTCTCCTGAAGAAGCTGCAGAAACAAGGAGGTTTGCTCTGTTTGCTTCCTGCACACTGCCTGCTTGTCAGGCAATTTAGAGGATCTGGCACCATTCTTGCAGAAGACTTAATTCTATTTTTGAAGTTATAAACAGAGTGCAATAATGGGAGACCTTTGCTAGAGGAAGGCTTTGCAGAGGCATACAGGGAGGTGGTGAATGCTCCGGTCCTGGTCCCACAGCACCCACTGCTGAGCGCAGGCACATGCAGTGTCCTGCAGGACAGAGACCTCTCGTGAAGAGGCAAAGGAAAGTCTGGGAGACCAGTTTTCAGGGTTGTGATTTGTACCCAGCATAGCTCCATTCACAGTGATGGAGTTACTCATGAATATCACCAAGCAAAATCAAATACAAGTTGTTAATGCAGGATGTAATCATGCCTCGATTTTTTCATTTTCCCTCTTAGTAACAACACATTTTTAATTTACACATTCAATTCACTTCAACTATTGCTGATGGTCTTTGAGATGCACTTTTCAACTAGTCTCCCTTTAATATATTAAGCATTTATACAGTAAATATATAAATATATATAAAAGATAAATGTTTCGTAACAAAGATAAAAATATTTCTTTACAAGTTTTGTCAAAAAAGGGTCCCAGGCATATGCAGTGCTCTCATTTTCATATTCAGCTGAAGTATTTAACCAAATGCTGCATGAGAACAAAAGCGGTAACAGGAAATGCAGTGTACTGGCATGGGTGAGGACTTTAAGGCCTCATTAAAATTCAGGCCTCAAAAGAAAAGAAAAATAAGGATCAAGTACATTTTTGTAATGGGATCAGAAGTGTCCAGTTTCTGTGTGTAAGTACAAACAGTACTCGCAAAATTGTTTAACCTAAGAAACTCAGCAGTAATGCATTTTTATGAAACATTTTCTAATGAAATATGTTACTTAAGTAACTGCCATCGTTTACAGTAAATAATAAACAGAATAAAACTTTCCTCCATTTTCAGATCCTAGCTAAATAACAGATGTCGAAGATGAAAAAGTCATGCATTTGTTCTCCCTCAATACTTCACAAAGAAGTATTTAAAAGCTTTCTGAGCTGCAACAGCATTTTAACCCAAGTCAGCCTAAAATATGACTAAAATGGCACAGAGTTTCAACGACCACTTAGTGTGGGAAAGGTGATAGGAACCATTTTACCCTAGACAGTATCTGGCATAGAGGTGTCCTGCAAGGTCAAGTCAGCATGATTCAAGACCTGATGTCTGGGATATGGTATCGGATGTTTGAACTAAGATTCTGAGTAGAGGAATTTTTCTCATTCTGACTCCTCTTACCTACTTCTTGCTGCTGAAAATAAGTTTTTAAACTCAGAAGGAAATGTTTTTGCAGACATCAGTTTCAGTGATGCCTGTCCTAATTTTTCCCTGGCTGAAATAGGACAGTCCTTCTCCACTTTTACCTAAACATTCATATTAATGAGATTCTTTCATTAAATAAAGAGGGACAATGAATATTTTCAGCAGTAGAAGGGTACCTGGCCTGATCCAGAAATTTCCACTGTGTCTCTAAGTCAGGCCTGGAGACATGAAGGAGTTTTAATGCTATAATCTACCTGCATGAGAATAAAACTCATCAAGAAATACCTCAAAACGTAAGTAACATATAGCATTATGGGGAACTTTGGATGGATCATTTTAACTAGACTATGACTTACAACAAATCACAACATATTCCAAACATTTGTGGAAAAAAATCTGAGGTTTACATATCTGATAAAAGCATTTATCCTGCTGTCAGTGGTCCTTTAGTGTCTATCAAAGTACAACATTTTCTTGCAATAGGGTGCATATTCTTTCTTTCCTCAGCTGTACACAACAGACCCATACTTGAAAGTATTTTAGCAATGCATATATCTTAATATGGATGTGTTTGATCATTTCATTTTACATATAACTCTGAAGCACGTAATATAGTTCCATGCCTTCTAGGAGAATAATAATAAAAAAAAGAACCACAATGATTTCTGAAATTCCAAAGTTTACAGTTGAGTATTATTTAGAACAACTCTTATCTGTAGTCCCATGGGCTTTACCTTTATTTTTATGTTATGTTATGGGAATTTTTATTCCTATTGAGTAACCTTTTTAGTTTTTAAAGGAGAAGCTAAAATCTTGCAGCCAATGTAGGTATACGTTTTTAGGAGAGAAGAGAGGTGCCATGTGCTCTCTGTAGGAACAAAGAAGAAAAAACATCGGTTAATAGTATAAAAATGCAAAGGAGGAAGACTGAGCAATACAAAAGAAAAACACCGGCTTTGCGAGGTTCTACCCACCAATGGCGAGCGAGTCTTTGATTTTTGACAAGTGGATAATCATTAAAGTTAAGGTACAAGTCAAACAGATTTTATGATTAGGTTGTTTAATAACACTTGTAAGCCTGTTACATACATATCCTAGTCATGAGATGACATTATAAACCATGTTGGTTTTACTCTTATGGTTATTTTCATATTCACGGGAACTTCAGAGTATAAATGTATCTGGTTGTAAGTGTATCATCTACTATGAATTGTGCTATTAATGGCACAGTACACACTGGTGTTAATAAAAACACCTTCTTCAGCACAGTAGTTGTGATGACAGCATGAATGAGCTGTTGAACTAAAAATATGTGATTCTGAGACCTTTAGGGTAACCCCTCCAGGGCATGTCCTCTAGGGTTATTCCTTCAGGGCATGTAAAATGTAAAGCAACCTCTGAGAGCTGCCGAGCATCCTCAGCTTATACTGAACCGCCTGGAAGGTGAGATGGTAGGCAGCTCTCTGAAGGCTGATCAGAACCTTAAGATCAAGAAGAGGCAATCCATTCCCCAAAGTGACTGTCATTTTCTTCTCTTACCCACAGCACTCCGGCAGCATACTTCATACTATCCTACCCACTCCTGAACTGTAAATAATCAAACGAGTGTTTTCAATTACTCTTGACTACGGAATGAATATTAAAGGCCTTGCAGCCAGAATGTGGATTAATGCAAACTGTCTCCATGCAGTAGCACGGCATCCTCTCTGTGCCAACACACAAATGTTTTTCCCAGAAATTATGCAAAATACTGATGTAAGTCCCAGGTGAAGGGGAAGAAGGGGGTGCAGAAGAGGGAAGGAAGAAAGAAGAGGGCTATAGAAATATATAAAGA